CTAATTTCTTGACGTGCTTGACTAGGTGTGGATTCCAAACTGGTGCTGCATACTCCAGTATGGGCCTGACGTAAATGGTATACAGAGTCTTAAACGAATCCTTACTGAGGTATCGGAACGCTATCCGTAGGTTTGCCAGGCGCCCGTATGCTGCAGCAGTTATCTGATTGATGTGCGTCTCAGGAGATATGCTCGGTGTTATACTCACCCCCAGATCTTTTTCCTTCAGTGAGGTTTGCAGTCTTTGGCCATCTAAACTATATTGTGTCTGCGGTCTTCTTTGCCCTTCCCCAATCTTCATGACTTTGCATTTGGCAGGGTTAAAGTCAAGGAGCCAGTTGCTGGACCAGGCTTGTAGCCTGTCCAGGTCTCTTTGTAGTCCTGCCTGATCCTCATCCGATTTGATTCTTCTCATTAACTTCGCATCATCTGCAAACAAGGACACTTCTGAGTCTATCCCTTCCGTTATGTCGTTCACATATACCAAGAACAGCACAGGTCCTAGGACTGACCCCTGTGGAACCCCGCTTGTCACAGGCGCCCACTCTGACACCTCGTCGCGTACCATGACTCGTTGTTGCCTCCCTGTCAAGTATTCTCTGATCCATTGCAGTGCCTTTCCTGTTATGTGTGCCTGATCCTCTAGCTTTTGCAGTAACCTCTTGTGAGGAACTGTGTCGAAGGCCTTCTTGCAGTCCAAAATATGCAGTCGATCCACCCCTCTCTCTCTTGTCTTACTTCTGTCACCTTGTCATAAAACTCTAGTAGGTTTGTGACACAGGATTTTCCTTCCCTGAAACCGTGCTGGTTGTCAATTATACACTTGTTTCTTTCCAGGTGCTCCACCACTCTCCTCCTGATGATCTTCTCCATGACCTTGCATACTATACACGTTAGTGATACAGGTCTGTAGTTTAGTGCCTCATGTCTGTCTCCCTTTTTAAAAATTGGGACTACATTTGCCATTTTCCATACCTCAGGGAGTTGCCCAGTTTCAAATGATGTGTTGAAGATCTTTGTTAATGGCTCACACAATATCTCTGCTCCCTCTTTAAGGACCCACGGAGAGATGTTGTCTGGTCCCACCGCCTTTGAGGTGTCAAGTTCGCATAGCAGCTTCTTCGCCTCCTCCTTGGTTATATGTACCTCATCCAGCACTTGCTGGTGTGCCCCCCTGTTCTGATTTCCTGGAGTCCTACTGGTTTCCACTGTAAATACCTCTTTAAACTTGTGTTGAGCTCCTAACATACCTTTCGGTCGTTTCTTGTGAATTCCCCATCACCCTTCCTCAGTCTGATTACCTGGTCCTTGACTGTTGTTTTCCTCCTGATGTGGCTGTACAACAGCTTCGGGTCAGTCTTTACTTTTGATGCTATGTCATTTTCATATTGTCTCTGAGCCTCCCTTCTTATCTGTGCATATTCGTTTCTGGCTCTTCGGCTAATCTCTTTATTTTTCTGAGTTCTCTGTCTTCTGTACCTTTTCCATTCTCTAGTACACCTAGTTTTTGCCTCCCTACACCTTTGGGTGAACCAAGGACTCGTTCTGTTCTTCCCATTATTTCTGTTTCCCTTGGGAACAAACCTCTCCTCTGCCTCCTTGCATTTTGTTGCCACATAGTCCATCATTTCTTGTACTGGTTTTCCTGTCAGTTCCCTCTCCCACTGAATGTCTTGAAGGAAGTTCCTCATGCCTGAGTAGTTCCCCCTTTTGTAGTTTGGTTTTTTCCCAGCCTATTCCTGCTACTCTCTCCACTTGGAGCTCAACTATGTAGTCGAAGCACAGAACCACATGATCACTAGCTCCCAGTGGCCTTTCATACATGATACCCTCGATGTCCGAACTACTCAGGTGAATACAAGGTCCAGTTTGTGGTTCATCCTCTCCTCTCTCTCTGGTAGTGTCTCTAACATGTTGATGCATGAGGTTTTCCAGTACCACATCCATCATCTTGGCTCTCCATGTTTCGGGACCCCCATGGGGCTCCAGGTTTTCCCAGTCAATCTCCTTGTGATTGAAATCACCCATAATTAGTAACTTTGCTCCCCCCCATGTGTGCTCTCCTGGCCACCTCGGCTAGTGTGTCGATCATTGCTCTGTTGCTCTCATCATATTCTTCTCTTGGCCTCCTGCAGTTCTGTGGTGGGTTGTACATTACTGCAATTATCACCTTATGTCCCTCAGACTGGATTGTTCCTACTAATTAGTCCCTTTCGCCCGTGCCATCCATTCCTTCCATTTTCTCAAAACCCCACTGGTTTTTAATAAGCAGTGCAACTTCCTCCTCCCCCTCTCCTCCCTCTGTCTTTCCTGAGGATTTGATATCCGGATGGAAAGATTGAATCTGTTATTATTCTGGTGAGTTTTGTTTCTGTGAGTGCTATTATGTCTGGGGATGTCTCCTTGATTCTTTCGTGCCACTCCTCATACTTGTTTGTTATTCCATCTGCATTTGTATACCACACCTTCAACTTCTTTTCTAAGACTGTGGTCTGGGAGGTGTATTGGGGTTGGGGAAGTGGGAGACCTGGTAAGGAACTATGGGTTGTTGCTGTGGGGGTGGAGTTTGTAATGTAGTGGGTCTGTGTGTCTGTGTCTGTGTGTCTGTGTCTGTGTGTGTTAGTTACCATTTGGTCCTAGGCACATGTCGATTAGGCACTAGGCCTGCTGTATGTGCATGCGTGTGGTGTGTGTATGTGTGTGTGAATGTGGTATGAATGTATGTGTGTATGAATGTGTGTATGAATGTGTGTATGAATGTGTGTGTGTGTGTGTGTGTGTGTTGTGTGTGTGTGGAGCGCGCGCGAAAACTCGGCTATATGTGGTTACAGGGGTCGATTCACACCTGGTCCCGCCTCTTTGCTCGCTGCTACTAAGTCCACTAAGGTGTATTCGTGGGCCTTATTACAGCTTACATCAATGTATGAAGTCTGCTTCCACTTCTTCCTCTTCCTCTTTCCACTGCTTGACCATCCTGTGGCTGAAAAAAATATTTCTTGATATTCCCGTAGTTCATCTATAACCTTAGCTTATAGGTGCACCCTTGTGTACCCGTTTGACAACACTTGGGTGTTTAACCACTCTTGTGGAAAGAGTGGCTAATTATCTGTAGATTGAGGATACCGCGTGCACATACACCTCCCAAAATCAAGTAGGTGGACTTGGTGTTTCTGCCTCTACTGTGTCATGTTTTACTTAGCTTAATTTGCAAGCTATGAGCTGTTATCCTGCCACAACTGGTTTCAAAACTCAGCCTTACCTAACGTGTACTTGTGGCTTGCTGCTGAATGCAGAACACGTCGTAACTGTTTGCTCACGGCTTCAGTAATTTGCCTTAGTCGTGGTTTTCATAATTAATTACCTGTAGGTTTTTGGGGAAAATTTTATCCATGGTTTTTGATGTTAATGATTTTTTTTTTACTTAGAAATATGGCACCCTCTTGAAAGTTGTCTTCAGACTGACAACTTTTCCAGCTTCCTAAAGTTAGTTTTCTAAGGAACTAAATTATTCAAAAGTTTATCTGTATCAGGCAATGGCTTCGAGTCATTGCCAACCTACCACTACCCATATTCCCACCTCCTACCCCTATCGAATATCTTTCCTAAATTCTACAGATCCATCAACTGGGCGTACAGACAGCAGGGAACAAACACCTGCCTTTTAACACAGTCGGGAGGAGGGGACCTTAGTGAGGCCCATGTCGTGACGATCAATACATATTTTAATGCTAGTTAGGGATACCGTTGCACCTGCAAACCTCCACAGGTGTGCAGTAACACGTTTAAAGCCCTTGAACTGAAGACTCACAGGTAAGACCCACAAGGAGTGAGGGAGAAGTAGGGACAAAGGAAGAATAACTCTGGAGAAGAACGTCTTGAGTTGTAGAAAAAGAGCCGGGGCTAAACCCAGCCGCAGAGCACTGTAAGGCATGTATACAAGAACATGGAACAGCTTAGAAGAGCAGGAGGACACTTACTGAACTTGCTGACAGTAGTCTTGGTAAAGTAGAGGTGAGCGGCAGGCAGGCAAGAGATTCACAGCAAAAGGCAGCTTTCAAGATGATAGATGTGACGATTTACTGCTGTCTGTCAGTAGAGGAGCGATTTTTAAGTTTCATGAAAGATGACTTCGAGAGATGGATAATTCTAACCTCGTTAAAATTATCCCTAGTGCCAAAAATCTCTATTCACCCGCTGCTCCACTTGAACAGCTTGTAAATGAGTTCGTTCTAAGCGGACTTTCTCGGCAACTCAGAGAGAGCTCTGCGTATGAAAAACGGAATACCATACCAATATACACGACTTATTTTCTCAGCTTGCTCTTAATAAATGAGATTCTAGCACTCATATTCCTAATACGTGTTTAAAGGTCTTTTCTTCACTCAAACATAATCAACATCTTCATAAATCGCCACTTCCTCACCCTAACATGATTCACAGATTACCAGATTGTTCCACATTCAGCAGCAGGGATAAGGTATACGTACGAACTTGGCCTTGGGTATGTGGGTAGTCTGTCATGTTTTGATGTCCCGGGCTTATGGGCAGGAAGATTTTAATAAGTAAACCTTGATACTTCTGTAGGTGGTTACAACAGGAAACTTTTTTGCATGTCAAGTAATTTTCACTTATTTCCATTTATATAACTTGTCATACCAAGTTACTCGTAAATTTACAGATATCCTAATATAGACTATACATTACAACCCCAGTCGCACAGTAAATCTATAATTTTTCTATATATTTGCACCAGAGAAAGTTTATAATGTTTGACATAAAATACCACAAATCACTGATCAAGGTTAATCAATATCCATGGATGACTTAGGTTAAGAATGAACGGAATATTTACACACCACCTCACCCAGAACTTCCGATTTTATTCGAATAACATATTATTACACAAATGAATCAGTTCATATAACTGGTATTATAAGAGGGATGAGCTGGTATTTGCTTTCTCAAAAATTACACTAATCAACATACTTTCTCACTTTCAGACTACGGACGGATGTACCCACACTCGACCATAACACACGTACCCTACGGACGGGGTGAGTTATTTAACAGTTTTTAAGCAGGAAATGATGCTGATGCGTCATTTGAATGCAAATAACAGCGACTTTCGCATCTGAGCGAAAAACTGCTGCTTAACCCAAACTTTACCAGTTTGCATATAATTTTATAATTTGAGGTTGTGCATACGAACAAAAAACAGTTCTGTGGTAAGGAAATCATTGGTGTGAGGTGGGTAAGCTGGCGCGATCAGCTTAGCCAGGAGAACATGGGTGGTGACTCAAGCTGCCGTGACGCCACTCACACCCACTTGTGTCCAGACGCACCATAATTTGATGCGGACATCTGAATATTTTTCTTGAGGGTCGCACGTATAGCGCCTTATATGTTAAAGGAGCGGTGAAATCGGGAACCCCGTGTAAGGGGTGAAGGGAATGTTTGGTCTTATCCATGCTGACCTTCAGTGTAGGAAACGATGAATGATCCATACAGCTTCAATATTTTGCGAGTAACAATGATAGTAATAAAAACAATAACAGCAAAAATAATCAGATACGTACACAAATCACACCTTTATTAAACGATATTTCGTTCAGTGGCAGCTTCAAGTTGACTTCAACAAAGCATCCACTGAACGAGGCATTGTTCTTATAAAGGCTTTTATGTCTGATTGTCATTAATTTACTATGTATCACGTTATTGCCCATCTTTCATTTTAAATAATAATAATAATAATAATATAGTCTAATAAGCATGTCTGGTAGCATGTAACAAAACCTTCTCAGTAGCAATGTTTTCAAAGACAAGAATACGAATTAAAATACAAAATGTTTATACAAATAAATTTAACAAAACACAAGAGAAAAACAAGTATTTCTCTTGGGTGATAATTAACATAGTAATATCTTCTCTTTAATGTACTGACTATATATTAGAATGTAAACGCAAATTTGGTTAACAGTTAACGTAGCTCATGTCAGTCCAGCGAGATTATTTATTTATTTATTTGTTTATTTATTTATTATTATTATTATTATTATTATTATTATTATTATTATTATTATTATTAGTTAAATTCGTGTTATTAAGCTCTGCACAGCGGGAAGGGAAACATTTTAGTGTTTGGACACAAGGACCAAAGAGAGCCAAAAGTCGGTTTAATAGATTTCAATTAAATAAATATTGAATTGCATTAAAGGCGGGACTGATAGAGTTGAAGACAAAATAAGCTTGTCAGGATGGTGAGCAGGACCTGTGGACAGATCCCGCAGGAATAGTTGATAGTTCCAGCAGGAGGTTGACAGCTCCCACAGGAGCTGTTAGCAGTGGATTTAGTTCGTCCTTTCGTGTAGTGAAATAATAATATCCCCACCCACGGGAGTAATAAAGTTGTGGGCAGTGTCTATGCCTCTTGTGACCACACTATACCTTATTCCTACACCCAGAAGTGATCACTTGATAATTTAGTATAGTTTTATTAATTAATACAAGCAATACTTTCGGTCCGCGGGGTAACGCTGTGCAGTAGCATTCAGGCATTGGAAAGCTTCCTGACTGCGGACAAAGATCTACTAATCCACGGCTATTTTTATTCTTCCTTTGGTGATTTGTTATTGTAAATGGTTTTCGTTTGTGAGCTGGTTTTGGTTTGTTAGTGCATCAGTGTGTATGTCTATATTTTTAAATGATAAAATCGCTTGCTCACCTGCTAAGGTAATGGTAAGGCCTACAAACCTGTAAGTACACTCGGGTGTTACAAACTTGTCCCTACATTCTGGTAATACAGGTATACCGGATCCTCGGGCAAAATAGGATAGATACTATCTAGAAATTGAAATTGTTTTCCTGTCAATTGATTACATTAATTAATATAATAATAATTACTACTACTACTACGCTTAAAATATTGACAAAATACCGAAATTTTGACCCTGTGAATGTAGCAAGGTTCTCACAGACGAGCTTCAGTGATCTTAGCGCTTAATATAGACTTAGAAACTCTTAAACGAACAGTTACCTCTTATAAGTATTTACATTGTGAGATTAGTCCAAGCCTGGAGCGTGTGAAGGTATCTCACACAGACGAGTCAAAAGACGAAGTTGACGAGATTACCATTCTGTCAAAGGATGAAGATTACACTGTAATGTAATGTAAAATATGCAAATTTCTTCCTTGAAAAACTTCGCCATTTTTAAGCTTCTATCAAGGTCCTTTTCTGAAATGTCAGAAGTATTTTTATCGGTTAGTTTTAAAAAACAGAAGTTAAACACTTAAAATTGCAGTTTTAAGACAGAAACTGAATAACGTAGGGTATGCCAAACCATTCAACAAGCATGATAGGGACTGAACATTCCCACGAAAATCAGTTTGCTACTCACTGTTGCATCTACGTTGGCAGTGCATACACCGGAAACACTTGTTCTGGAGCCACAGCAAGTCTGTACTCCGACTCGTTTTGCTTAATAATACATTTCTATTACAACTTTAAGTTGCCGTATTTTCCAGCATATAAGAGATATTTTTTCCACACAAAAGGTTTTGGAAAATCAACCTGCTCCTTATATCCTCAAGGTCAGGGTCAAGGGTAGGCTTTGGGTTACACTTTAGCAGTTGTTTACTAACGATACATTACAACTGAATCGAAACATCATCTTATATGTCTGGTATGACCGTGCGCCTTATACCCCACGTACTAGAAGTACGTGGCGTACCCTTCATGTCGAATTGCAGAAGGTATCCGGACGTTTTGTCATCGCAAAACAGATTGTGACAGATTTCACTGCTAGTGTCCAGTTCTACCCAACCTTTCATGATTATTAGACACGGCACTTCCTAATAAATATAATTGTTAGACCCCCGATATTGCCGCATTCATAGGTAAATACATAATAAAATATGCCTGAAAGAGCAAAATCTATTACTATATGTAGCCTGTCTCTCATCCTTCCTAAGAAGACATTTTTACATAAGCCGATTATGAAACAAAAAGTTGGGAAATCAACGTGTGCTCGTAATTAAGTCTTTGCTCTACGCACCTTCTCTTAATTATTTAAAACTGCACACTTTTCCCCCTAGGAGAGATTAACAAGCAACACAAAGCAGCCAGCCTGCAGCACCCCTCACCCCCAGTTAGTAGAGCTTCTTCCTGGTAACACCCACGCTCTCAGTGTCCACAGCGAGGTAGTGCTGCCTCTCCACCCCACCAGACTATTACCTCGCATTATGTAGCCATGCAGCCTACCTGCAGAAAAGTCCGAGGGTTATGCCCCCGAGGCCCAGTTCCTAACCAAGTTTGGTTGATGGTGTGATCAATGAAGTTGTTGGTGCTATGAGCACGCAGTGGGTATAGTGGTTCAGTAAATATTGCATCGGAGTTGCAATTTGTTAGATCTAGAATGGGAGTCTCTACTGGGAAAGCAGTCTTCCCTTCCAGTTGAGGTTAAATGTTTTTCTCTTAACATAAATGCACTGTATACCCTGCTCCACTTGTCATAACCAGACTGGTCCATCTAGATGGGAGAGATGCCTTCATAAATGAAGGGCTCCAGAGCCCTTCAGTGGGTGGAACTTTCAACATTACTGTCGTCATTCATCATCTCCATTATCATAACACATCACATCACCGTCCTTATTATCATCGTAATTACCATTTTTTTTTTAAATTTTGTATTTTCTAAACGTATTTCTACATATTTCTGTATTATGCTTTAGGCTTTCACATGTTGCACTGCTGTCTTTCTTAGCTTACGATGTTGTTATAGTCTTATAAAACTGCACACAGCTCAAAAAGCCCTGTTCAAGGTGCTCTACCGTCAATGATTATTAACATTGCCGTCTTTAAAACACTAACTACCTCCATATCGAAGATTATTTTAGGTTTATATATTTTTTTTATTTTTTTCCCCTCTTCCTGTCTTTGTTCTTAATCCTTTGACAGTGATTAAAAACAGTCATGCCGACGGCACAATGCTTCTGTATGTAGCGTGGTACTTCGTTATTGTTAAAGAAAAGTCAGTAACTTAACACAACACACATCGCTGCCGTCACCCTCGATCCCTGTGACGGCTGTGATCCTCGAAGTCAGGAGGAGGAGGTCACGATAGTCACCACTAACTTTGATTCATGTTCGCTGCAGCATACTCACCAAGTTAATGTTTTGTTTTTTATCATGTGGCTAGGCATGGGTGCCCACTGTCGAGGTGAATGATAAAAATCCGTGAAATGAAACTCCACATAGATATGAAAACATTGTGGTGACGTATTTAGAATTTGGAGGTAACAACTTATAAACAAGTTATGTTCATTTTTTTCAGGTCACAAACTAGTTATCTGTATAGAGAATAATATTAAAAAAAAAATTATTTCATTTTCGTTAATTGGTTACTAAGCGTTCAATTGGTAAGACAGAGAGAGAGTGTGTGTGTGTGTGTGTGTGTGTGTGTGTGTGTGTGTGTGTGTGTGTGTTTTATGGACAAGCTACCCCATTTTTTTTTTTTTTTTTTTTTACTGTTGAGGGAAAAAATGCATTTCCCGCTGGTCTGAGCAGCCAGTTGCTGTGACTGCTGTACCTTCCATGGGTCTGTCCATAACAAACACTGCAGTTCATTGCATTTTTGCGGCATCTGACATTTCCTTCCCGCGACGACCAAACCTCTGTTGATTGCTAGATGAAGGAGTAAAAGGTTGAAAAAAAAAGGCAAAAAGCGGGTGAGATATGATGCAAGGCGCGAGTCTAGTTAAATGTGTCTATAAATACTAGAAATTAGTTGCTTGTGGCTGATAAATTGATTGGTGCCGTGTAATTTTAGTGATGAACCCAAAATACAGCGTAAAATATACGCGCATGAATACGGGTTTATTCTGGTAAATGCCTAGTTATTACGCTTATCTGGGTAACATTTCTAAATATACTGGAATTGGGAAATTAACTTTATGAATCGACATAACTGTCATACTGGAGGTGTCAGGCTCAACATTTGCTAACATAAGCATTCGCTGAGCGTTAAAACTTCTGTTTTTTTCTTAATTTTAAAGCTT